GTTTCCCCATCCAGTGAAAACGAGCATCTATCTCCTAATGTAGTCTCGAGGCTTAAAGGAGGTCTTACTTGGAAAGCTTTTAGGAGCAATGCCCGGCACACGGTAAGGACATCAAAGTGTTACTGGCTATTACTTGATAGTAATAACAGTACATGCACCAGATGGTAATGCAGTAAAGACACAACTTATACTGGTTTACAGGTGATATACAATCTACCTTAAGCAAGGTCTGGGGTAATAACATGACTAAATATTGCAGTGGTAATGTTGGTGATCTCGTGGTTCGTGGGGTCGAGCCCTGGGTCGGTTCCGCACTGACAGCACAGAGCCTGCTTGGGATTCTCTCTCTCTCTCTCTCTCTCTCGCTCTCTGCCCCTCCCTCGCTTGTGCGCATGCTCTCTCTCAATATAAGTCCATAAACTTTAAAACAAAGAACGGTACTGTTGGCGATGGGAGACGTAACAAAGTTTTACACTTTCCTCTTCAAACGCTTTTTTATTTGAACCTCGATAAAGCATGATATACTTTTGCCTATCAACTGGAACACCGGTATTGTCATCTTTCTACCTGGTTTAATAACAACCAGGTTGTGCCAAGTGTTTAGGGTGTGCTTAGCACCCTGCTAAAAATATATATGTTATCTAATTTAACCACTAACAACCGCAGAAGATAAGGTTATTATGATCATTATTACCTTCATTTTCCAGGTAAAGAAATGGTTGCTCTGGAGAGGTTCCTAAGGGCACTGAAGATATGCTTCTCTCTTGGCATGTCTGTCGTCTATCCCAGTGTATCCCATGGCCTGGAACTTAATACAGATTTGTTGAATGGGTGAAAGAAATAGTGAAGCCTCCCGAGACTTTATGTTGGTCCTGGACCTTTCATCCAAAATAGGTTTTCAAAATCAATCATGGAAGTAGACACAACCACACTTTAGGAACAAATCAATCTTCCCAGGCTATGTGAAGAGGGGAAACGGAGGATGAAAGTGGGAGGCAAGGTGAGCATCTTGGTGGGATGCTCCGTAAAATACACGGAGAGCGAGATTGCCAAGGAGAGCGAGATTGCCAAGGGTTTCGGGCTCTGGTGGATGGCTAAGGTCACACGGCCTGGGCTGGGGGAGCTGTGAAACAGAAGCTGAAACGCAGGCTAACCCAGCGGCACACAGGGGTACTGTTGCGGTCTCTTGAGACCCACAGTCTTGGGAGAGGGGGAGGTTCAGGAGGCTGGGCAAACCTCCCACCGACCGGGGCTTTCCCCGTGCAGGATGATGGTGTGCGTCCCCCATTCCCCACAGGGTGATCTGCAGTGGCTCTGTGGTCCACAGGCTTGTCACGACTCTACGGTTTTGTCCTCGGGGAGCTAGAAATTGTGCCTAAGTTGGCCCGCTCGGCAGGCTGCTGTGAAATGCAGAGCAGCAAATCCTCCCCTGCCAGATTCCTTTACAGAAATACATTCTCGTTCCTTGAGGAGCTCCTGGAACAGTGGTTCTCAAAGCATGCCTGAAGCAGCAGCATCACCTGGGGCCTGAGGTCAAGGGAGTTGAAGGGGAGAAAGAAAGCCCTACTGGGATGGACGGAGAGATGTTAAGAGTTTATTCCTTAGCTGATCTTTTTCCAGCTTGAATATGTATATAGATGGTTATAGACGGGCTGAAAAATTCTCAGAATCGCAGCTTACGGCTGAGGCTTAAGATTTAAAGGAGAGGGAACGTGGTCACAAATGTTGGGTGACCATTTCAACAGATTAGTAATGAGGCGCCTGGGTGGCTAAGTCAGTTGAGCGAATGACTCTTGATTTCAGCTCGGGTCATGATCCCAGGATCATGGGATCGAGCCCCAAGTCGGGCTCTGTGCTCAGCCTGGAGCCTGCTTAAGATTCTCTCCCTCCCTGTCTGTCTCTCCCTCTGCCTCTCCCCCACTTGTGAGTGCGCACGTACTCTCTTTCTTAAAAACCAAACAAACAAGCAGTTTACTAATAACTGATTTTACATTCAAAGTCTTGTTTGGGAAAAGCTCTGCTCCTGGGTAAGTATCTTACAGAGCTGTTGGAGAGACTGAAAATGAGCTGATTTGTATGAAGGTGTTTTGAAGCCATGAAACACTATGAAAATGTTACTGCAAGGTAGTTGGAAATCTTGGCAAGAAAGTGATTAAGGCAAAGGAGAATGAGGGGTCTTGATACAGATTATGAAAAGAGGACTAGAGGAGTTCATTATTTATTCACTTGACAGTATTTATTAGGTGCCAAATACACACACAGACACACACAGGCACACACATATGCACACATGTGCCAAGGACTGGGCCAGATGCTGGGAATAAAATGTCGAACGAAAACAGCCATGGCCCTTGCTTTCATGAAGTTCAAGGCTAATAGAGGAGACAGAGAGTTAGCAAATAATTGCATAAATGAATGACTAATTACTAAACCTAAGAATGGTATTCTGAAACAAAAGAATAGAGTTCTGCGACCCCACGTAATAAGAAACCTATTCTAGACTGGTGGAGGGAGGGAGTGAAGAGGAAAAGAGGGATTCTTAGGGAGGATTCCTCTAGGCACGTTCTGCTTCATCTGGGATCTGAAGGATGAGTAGAGGTCAATTAGGTCAGGCTGGATGATAAAGGGTCAGGAAGGAAAGTCCTATGGACAGAGAGAAGACTATGGAAGGGCCTTGGTCAGGAAAGCCTGCGTGACGTATGTGAACAACAGAATTCAGGCTGGTGTATCCCGAAGAACATAAGGGCAGGAGTGGGGAGAGCTGGTGGGGCAGAGAAGAGACCAGCCCACGGAGAGCCTTGAAAATCCCGTGTGTATCAACCAGAGACTGAGCTCAGCTGCTAGAGCCAGAAATCCGATGACAGTGTTTAAAACTCCAAGGATTTTGTTCACGCATGTAGAAACCCAGAAGTAGACAGTCAAGTCTTACACGGTGGTTCCACAAAGTCACCAGGACACAGGCTTCCTTCATCTTTCTGCCTTACCATTTCTAATTCTAACATCTATCCTCTGTGTCTCAAGATGGTTGCTGGAGCTCTAGTCATCATACCCACATTTTAGGCATGAAGAATTAGCAGTGCTTCACAAGGGCTTTCCTAGCCTTTCCATTTGGCAGCTTCTGCTTACATCTTATAGGTTATTCCTCTCTGTCTAGGAGGTTAGAAATGTCTTGTGTATGTGTGTGGGTGAGAGAGAGATCGGATGCCATCCCAATAATATCACGTCTTTGTGAAGAGGGGGAAAATGGATATGCTATAAAAGTAGTCTCTGCCATACCATATAAGGATCTTGGCTACTTTCTTGTGATCAATAGGAAGTCATTGACAAGGTTTCTGGAAGAACAGAACATGATCGGCTGTGGTGGCGAAAGGAACCGGGCTGGGAAAACAGAACATGAGGGCAGCGTAGGAGTCGGGATTATTTTGAGAGGTTATTTCTGAAGCGGACGGTATAGTAGGTCTTGGTGATAAATTAACAATGCGGAGTGAGGGACAGGAAGACCTAAAGAATGATACCCACAGGATGGATTGCAGTGCCTTTCGCTGAGCTAGCATACAAAGGAAGGGGAAAAGATTTGCTGGGAAAGATCATGAACTTGGTCTTGGGCACGCTGACGAAGAACGGCTTCCAAGTGGAGACGTAACAGGTGGCTGAGCCTGTAGGACTGGATGACGCAGAAGCACTCTGCTGCAGATAGAAGTCGGTTTCCACTGACGTGGAGATAAGTGAAATCATAATTGGTAACAATTTCCTGGAGACGGGGCACAAAGTGACAAGAAGGTCTAGGCCCCAATCTTGAGGAAATTTGACATTTAATGAAAGGGGGAGGAGGAGGAGCCAGAAACAGAGACAAAATAGAAGCATCCAGAGAGGTGGAAGGGGAGCCAAGATGCATTGTCTCAGGGCCAAGAAAGACCAACAAGAAGGACCATACCCAGTGCTGACGAGGGGTCAACGAGGTGAAGACTGAAAATGGCTTTTGGATTTAACCACACGGAGAGCACCAGGGGCCTCAAGACTCTTGGAGGAATATTTGGCCTGGAAACCGGATTATGATGTTCTACGCTGTGGATCACACATGAAAAATGGCAGCAATGAATACACAATTGGTTAAAGGCTGAAGAGAGAGTGGAGTAGTAGCCCGGGGGGGGGGGGGGGGGGGGGGGGGGGGTTGGACACGTTGTCCAGGAAGATTATTTTCTAACATGGACGCACCAAGAGGGGTTCAGATACTGATGGGAAGGACCTAGTTGGAAGGAGAGAGGGGATCCTTGACCCATCCAAGGTTTCTTCCTAAGGAAGATGGGAGAGAAAGGGAGCCAAAGCAGACGTCATAGGGTAACCCTAAGGAGGTTGAAGAGAAGGCGTGGTTCAAACTGGAAGACATGACAATTTCAAGGAAAAGTGCGGGTCGTGGTAAAATGTCATAAAATCTGAAGCACTTCCTTTCGTCTTCTCTCTCAGATGTGTAGGTAAGTAAGGCCTCAATAAGGTATCGCAGTTCGAGTTAGGGTCTCCTGAACCTTTATAAAATCATGCAATCCTTACAATATCCCCGTGACATGGAAGCTACTGTCGTCCCAACTTTAGTGACCGGGAAACTGAGGTTTACGGCGTGACGTAGCTGGCGTGAGATTATGGAACACTCAATTGGTAATGACGAGATTCAAGGCGTCCTCTGCCTACCGTGGGGTTCTTACTGCCATGCTGGGCTACGAGCCTCACCAGAGAAGACGCTCTCTGACAAATCAGCTCAGAACCAGTCTGAGCAGGGAGGCAGGCATGCTCCAAGTTAAGGTGAACCCCTGTGTTTGTGGCCTCAAGGTGATCACAACATCATCCCTCAGTTAAAGGTTTTCTCTTCTCAAAGTGTCACAGGAGGAATAGAAATGATTACGAAACAGAAGGGAGAGAAAAAAATCAAGAGCCATGAAACAAGAAATGCCACCCAAAAAGAGAACACGTTTATTTAAAGTTAATCTACACAAACAGAAGGACAAGTGTTGATACGAGCATAAAAATGCTCAAGCAAATATGTAGCATGTGGGACTTCCAAGCTGGTGCTCTGGGATTTCCAGGCTTTTCCTGTGCAGCCGGAGGGCTAATACCTGCTGGGGCTGAAAGGCGATGTCTGTTTCTACCTCACCACAAAGCACCTTCCTTTCTTCTGCCCAGTGATCTTTTCCAGAAAGGTCTGCGTATTTCAAGGAAACGCCATACTCAACCAAGACATATCCGCAACTACTTTGCACTGGACTCAAGGAGCTTCCTTGAGACAAAATGGCTGCTCAAATCTTTTTCCAAGACGATGGTCTTTGGTCATTTTCAACAGATCTCGTGAAATTTGACCTGTGGCTACAGGTTACCAGGATGTGCGCATGAAGTAACTTACTTCCTCTTCTTTAAGCTCCAGCGACTCAGGTCAGCAAAATGGAGGGTGGAATCATTGACATCTGTTTGCTTAGGGCTAGCCTCTGGGCTCTCTTGGGAAACACCAGGAGCATTGTTTTTCTAGAGAAAAAGGAAGCCTCGAGGGTGCGGAGTCTCCATCACTATTTCAGGAAATCTGAGAAATGCTTTTGAGCCTTCTTTCTTCCCTCCTTCGTCTCCACCCAGAAAGCAAAATTTCCCCCAAATCTATAAATCCTGAAAACAGAATGACATTTTTGTTGAAGTTTCTTAAATTCATGGCCCTTGGAGGCTGAATCAGGAAACTTCAGAAGACTTGCAATCATCCAATATCCTTCTGTTGGGGGATGCCAGGGGCTTGATTTGGGGATTGAGCAAGCCTGGAAATTTAAGGCAATTGATAGTAAATGACAATGAGTGTGTTATAGAAAGAAAAAAAAGAGAAAAAAAGCTCTTTCCAATACTCTGGACTGAGAGGGCATATAAATATAAAATTAATTAAAATATAATATAAATCAAAATATAAATATATGTAAGTATAAACATATAATATAAAAATAAACTATAAAATTCCTTCAATGTCACTGATGCATAATCTTGTAAGGCAGATTCTCTCTGCCTTAATTCATGTTTTCAATTTGGATCATTGGGGGGAAAGCTGGATCCAGGGAAGGTGATGCTTCTGACTTCTTGCCTTAGACCTTTTTTAAAAAATATATTAATTCTTTGAGAGAGAGAGAACTTTAAAAAAAAATTAATTATTCTTTGAGACAGAGAGAGAACACAAGCAGAGGATGGGCAGAGAGAGGGAGACACAGAATCTGAAGCAGGTGAGGCGGGGCTCGAACTCACAAACCACGAGATCATGACCTGAGCTGAAGTCTGACGCTTAACACACTGAGCCACCCAGGCGCCCCTTGCCTTAGAACATTTTAGCGACTTTTGGTTCATTGATTTCACTAACCTTTACCAAGGCCTTAAAATCTCTTTCTAAGACACTAAACTCTCTAAGACACTAAACAAGTGTATCGGGAGTGAGGGTGTAGACCAGCAATGACATGTAGTCGTAACTGTAAAGGTAATAATAATAATAATAATAATAATAGCCACTGATTATTTCCCAGCTACTGGGCTCAGCACCCTGAGACGTTCCCCTGGTGCCTGTGAGGTGCAGGCTTTGGAGCAAAGGACTCCGGATAGGAAGCAGATATGGTCTTCATCCCAAGAATTATCTTATTTAAATATTTGCTTTCTTAAAGTTTACTTATTTATTTTGAGAGAGAGAGAGAGAGAGCGAAAGAGAGGGAGAGTGAGCAAATATGATCAGGGGAGGAGAGAGAGAATCCCAAACAGGCTTCGGGATGTTAGCACAGAGCCCGACATGGGGCTCAGTCCCCTGACCGTGAGATCATGACCTGAGCTTAAACCAAGACTCAGACGCTTGACCTCCTGAGCCACCCAGGCGCCCCAGATACTTTCAATGACTTTCTAAGGTAGGTATTACTATCATCTTCCTTTTCTTTCTGCTCAGGAAACGGGTTTAGAGCGGTGAAGAAATCGGTGATAGTAAGAACTCCCAATCCAGACCCTGGGGCCTGACCATTATGCTTCCCTGCCCCCGGGAAACGTCATTCCCTAGGTACGCAGGGTCCCGTGGAGGAGGAAGCCAGGGGGCTTACAGGGACGGAAGCTGGCAAGGCGACTTTCACTGAAACAGAGCTGGACAGAACCTTGGACCCCATCCTTCACTCTTCTGGCTTTCAAACGTGATTATGATCTGCCCTAAAAATGAGAATGGACCTGTTTAAGGCTTCCAGAACCCAGAAGACTGTGTAGCTGTCCTCTTCTTCTGTGAGGTCATCCCCAAGCTCTCAGTCCTCAGTGAGGTCCCCTCCCTGCTGTCCGGCAGTATTTCCAAGGAATGAAGCTCAATGAAGACGTTTCTGCGAGTGTTTTACAGCAGGTTCATATAATTAGTTTGATCTCCACGGGACCTTGTGAAGTAGGCCAGGGGATACGTTATACTTGCGTTTTGTATTATTCCTTTTCTACAGTCCAGGAAATTGAGTCCCTAAAAGGTGAGGTGACTCGCCCAGGGCATTGAGCTCGTCTGGTGTAGGGCTGGGACTCTCACTGGGGACCTTCAGCCTCCAGACCTGATTTGTCCTATGACACCCAGCCCCTCCTGTCTACGAGGTGCAGGCTTTTGAACGAAGGGCTCTGGACAGGAAGCAGAGACCGTCTCCACCCCAGGAAGGATGACTCTTTTCTTTGGGAGATGCCCCTTATCTCATCCAATGAGTGACCACACAAATGGTACTTTTTTTTTTTTTTCCAGAACTTCCAGAACTATTTTGTAGGCACACTTGGTTTTGTATTTCTTTCTGTGCCCCGCCCTGCTTTCTGGGGATTTTGTGCACTGGCCAGCAACTGGGCCGTCCTTACAGGTGTCAGCGAAGCCTGTGTCAGCGGCTAATGGGGACAGCCTGGGGGAAGGGGCGGAGACTCCGAAGTCAGGCCAACCTGCACCCAAGTCCTGCCACTGAACTTCTGTCTGGGATAACTCTGGGCATGCACCTGACCTCTCAGTGCCTGGGGCACCTCAACCTGGAGGAAGATCCTACTAGCTTCCTGCAGCGCGAGGGCGAGAACTGAGGTACTGCAGGAATCCTCTCGAGCGCAGGGCACAGCGGCCGCCAGCCGGAAATGCTCTCGGTGTAGCTGTTATTGTCGTTGGGGCGTCTTCCTTATCACCTTCCTGAAAGGTTCAGCTAATCCTTGCTGAGCCTGCAAAGCTTCCTCTGTGTATTTCAACACGTGCTTCTGCTGAATCTGTACTTGTGGGCGGTTCTCTTTTATCTTCATTCAGGCGAGGAGCAAGCTCGCATCCAAAACCATGGGTCAACCAAGTGCAACCTAGCACTGTAACTTCCCCCAGCTGGAGGGATGCATATTAATAGGATCAACCCGAGACCCCCCTAGGCAG